CGAGATCACGTACACGCCAGCACTACGGCGCGGACGACAAGTGCGAATGTGGGGAGACAGAGACCGACGCGCACCGCATATGGGGGAGATGCAGCCATAGATCCAACGACGTGATTTTCGAAAAGACGGAAAGACTCAGGGCAACGGCAATCGAAGGAGCGGACGCAGCCCCAGCTTTCTGGCTGCGCGGGATCCCACCAAGAGCATGGGCCACACCAGAGCCATGCAGGACCGAGTTCGAAGAAAGACACACCGGGGAGTGCATCAACGAGGAGTGCATCAGCAGCTGCAACACCATCATAGGATGTGGAGATGGATCGGGGGGCGAGTATTCCAACGACCCAAGATACCGAAGGTGCGGGTGGAGCTGGGCAACCATGCACGAGTCAAGCGGGACGCGCAACATCACGGCAGCAAAGATGGGAGCCCTCCCTGGAACCATGGCAAACTACGAATGGATAAGAGCAGCGGCCTGCATGGTGCGTAAAGGGGCCATGACAGCGACGAAGGAGGCAATTGAAAGAAGACCACCCGAAGAAAGAGAAGCTAAAAGGGAAAGACAAAGAGCCAAAGTGAAGGAAAGAGAAGGAAGAAAGCATGACATCGAAACCCTGACGCAAGCGGACCCCCCCCCCCCCCCCCAAGTACCACGCACACGCCCAAGAAGCTGACAAAGGGAAGAGGCTGGAAATGCACCCACTGCGAGCAGAAGGTCAACGAGAAGACGGGGATGGAATACATTCGAGAGTGACTAGCCAATGGGTGCAAAGGTCCCCCCGCACCAGAAGGAGCTCAGATAAGTATCAACGGGGTCACCTCGCACGAGACGCACCCGCTGGTACGGGCCCCAGGCGAAAGACGGCACGTGCACAGACTATGTGGAGGATCGGCGGCAGACTATGCATCTGGGAAAATGCGCAGCATATGCTTACGACGGACTGGCTGCAGTTCGGCGAAGTACAAGCTGAGGAGTTGGCTAAAAGAGGCGCGGGAGCAGCAGCATGGGCGACTAGAACAACTAACTCGTCGGTGGCGGGGAAGAAGAAGAAAGGGCCGAATACCGAGAACATACGCAGAATCCCGAACAGCTCGCCCGTGGAGAAGGCGAAGGGAAAGACCGTTGGAAGCAACTAACCACGGCAGGCGAAATACAGGGAGAGCAGGAAGATGGCGTTAGAGTGCAAAGCCCTAGTGTGCCATTGGGGCTACTAGGCACAGCGTCGCCAGGTTTGCTGGAAGGCGTTAGAGCGCGAAGTCCTAGTGTGCCATTGGGGCTACTAGGCAAAATGCAGCCACGAAAGAACGGTGGCCCAGCGGAAAAGGGCGCAAACAACGCGATGAGGGGCGAGGCGAACACGGGAACACATACCGAAGCGGAAGGAAACAAGACAAGAAGCCCGAGCAAGGATAAGAAGAAACAGGCTAGGACGGACAAAGAACCTGAAGGGAGAAAGGAAAGACAATCACGTGGAGATCAGGAAAGATGATGAAAGCAAAGAAAACACCACGAAGGAAAGTTGCGACAAGGGAAGATACACAAAAAGAGAGAGCAAGGAGAAGGAGAAGATGGCGACCCTGAAGACCGTGAGCATCGAGTAAAGATGGCCCCGCTTTTCCAGCTGCTAAAAGAAGCCACAGAAAGGGAGATACCGAAACAAAGTCGCCAAGCAAGTGAAGATGATGATAGCGGCGTCAACGAGAAACAAAGAGAAGCGGACAGGGCAGAGAACGAGAACAACCACCCCCGTGACATGGGGGACCAGAGGGAAGAGGAAGCAGAGAAAGTGGCAAGGACAACGAGTACGGCTAAAAGGGCAGAAGGAACGGCTACAAGCACAAGCAGTTCGGCAAAAAGAGCAGAGGCCATGATCCACGCGAATGAAACCAAACCCCTTGACGCAGGGGGAGCCAAAGGCCCAGCAGCAGGAGGAGAGCACCTAGACGGAAGAGGAAGGAAGTTACCCCGTGGCATGGGGGAAAGAGAAGTGAGAGGAAAAGAAGTAAAGTCACAGCAGGATGGAAGCCAGAAAGAGCGGACAGAACAGGAACTTGATAGAGGAAGGAAAGACGACAAGGAGAAGACGGCATCGCTGACAATTTTGTCGAAAGAGGCTGGAGAAAGAAAGTGGCAAGAGCGGAAAGGCGAGGAGGCGACAAGAGCTGGGGGCACGGAGAAAAGGACGGGTAAAGACGAGACAACAGTGAATAGCACAGCGAGAAGGAAGCAGGGCACGAAGCACATGGAGGGAAACGAGCGCCTTGACGCAGGGGAGACAGAAGTGGAACTACCCCGTGACGTGGGGAAAGGGGAGCAGCGAGAACAGAAGCCAAGACGCAAAAAAAATACCCACAGGAGCTCGAAGAACATGTGCAGAACGAAGAAGCAAAAGCTCAAAGGGAAAAGATGGCCACGCTCTTCCGCACGCTGAAAGAAGCAACATTGAGAGAAAACTACGAATGCACAACGGGGAGTGCAAAGTAAAAGAAAAACAAGAAGCCGAAAGTGAAACGTACAAGGACGCCTCCGGGAACCAGGTCGAGAACGACCTGGTCTCTGAGGGGGCGACGGGCCCAGACCCGCCCCAACCTCACCACGTGAGAAATGAAACTGCTGGAAAAAAAACTCACTTCCCCCCTCGCTCGACGCCGACCAGACATGCTCGCGTCGTGAGAAAATCACGAGGGGAGGTTGTTTTGTTGTGTTGGCTTTTTGGAGGCCTCACTGGGCCTCCTCCTCCTCCTCCTCCTCTTCCTCCTCCTCTTCCTCCCCTGGTCGTCGTCTTCGCCGTCGTCCTCCTCATGCGGAGGAGGACAATCAGGAATATGATTGTGAACGCTCGGGGCCGCGTGTCCACACGCATCCCTTGTGAGCGTTCGCAGAGCTCGCCTATATTACATTTGACCGCGATGGTGCTGCAAGTTCTTGCGCAACTCGTCCCTTTCACGCGGTTCCCGTTCATGCCAGGAAAGGTTTGGAAAATCAGCGTTTCGCGTAACACACCCTTTCCAAATCGCGACTTTGGGGGTCGTATCGTAAGACGCCGTATGCTAAACATGGGCGCTTCGCCAGAGACGTCCTCGGAACATGGGGATGCTGGAATCCGAATCTTCGGAAATTCAAAAATAGCCGCTTCGCCTGAGACATCCTCAAACAAATGGGGTGCGCCAAAAGCTGGTCTGAGAAATCCGTTCGCCGCGTTTTTTGATGATCTCCGAGATGACCCAAAAAGCAAAACGATTGAACAATACAGGTTTGGTTCAACAATTTGGTTCCAACGTAAACGCTTCGCTTGGGACATCCCCCTAGAGATATCGGATCATGATGGACATGGCGATGTAGCTTAGGGTATGTAGGGTTAGGGTAACTATGTAGTGTTAGAGTATGTCGCGTAGGGGTCTGCAGGGCTGGTATGTAGGGTATGTAGGGTTCGAGCCAGTAGGGCGCGAGTCTGTAGCGCCAGATCTGAAGGGTGAGTAGGGTCTGTAGGTTAGGGTTTGCAGGGTCTGGGTCTGCAGGGTTACGATATGTAGGGTTAGTCGAGTCTGTCGGGTTAGTGTAGGTAAGATTAGGGTCTGCAGGGTGAGGGTCATTAGGGTGATTGTCTGTACGGTTAAGGCATGTAGGGGCTAGGGTATGTAGAGTTAGGGTATGTAGGGGCACGGTATGTAGGGTTAGGGTACGTAGGCTTAGGGTATGCAGGGTTAGGGTATGAAGGGCTAGCAAGGCCTGTGGGTTTAGGGCTTGTAGGGTCAGTGTCGATAGGGTTAGGGTCTGTAGGGTGAGAGTGTTTAGGATTAGGGTCTTTGGGTCTACTCGTGTCTGCAGGGTTCATGCATTAAAAAACCCAGGAAGGAGAAACATGGCGGTGCACAAAGGAGAAAGAGCATACTCGGAAACATGTGAGCGTTCGGGGAGCGTGTGTCCGTAAGTATCCGACAGTGAGCGGTCGGAGACTTCGTGTACATTACATTTGGTCGTGGTGTTGTTGCACGTCCTTGCGCAACTCATCACATGTCCGCGCTTCCCGTCCATGTCAGGAAAGGTCTAAAAACAATTAGTGTTGCGCTGCAGACATTCCCGCCAAAGTCGCGATCTTGGGGGTCGTATCTGAAGACGCTGTATGCTAAAGCTGAGCGCTTCGCCCGAGACATCTTCAGACAATGGGGATGTTAAAAGCGCTGGCCTAATCTACGGACCTTCCACATGGCCGTTTCGCTTGAGACATCCTCGAAAACATGGGATTCGCCAAGAGTTGTCTTGAGGCATCTTCTGTTCGGAGCGCTTTTGGATGACCTCCAAGATGGTCCAAGAAACGAACTTACTGAAACAACACATGGTTTCCAAC